ACAGAGTGGAACTGCCCACAGGGTCTCCAAGGCTGTCAGTCTTCACAGAAGCAAAGCCCAAACCACACCCACTGCCTGGAGTCCATTCTGACCCACAGTGCCCCTAGAGGACAGAGTGGAACTGCCCACAGGGTCTCCAAGGCTGTCAATCTTCATGGATGCCGACTGTGTCATCTTTCTCCCTGGGAGCGGCTGGTGGGTTTGAATAGCCGACCTTCTGGTTAGCAGCCAAATGCTTCAACCACTGAGCCACCAGAGCTCATTTTGGCAACGTAAACAACCCAGTAATGAACAAAAGGGGTGGAATCAGTGAGACTCCCTAGAAATGTGCCAGAAGCCAAGGTTCAGACAGGACACAGAATAAGCACCTCCTGGGAGCACCCAGGTGCAGAGATTTCCCAGGGTCGCTCAGCGGCCAGCACCAAGCTGTCACAGAGCTGGGCCCTGACTGGAGGCCAGGACCGCGGAGGGTGCGCGCTGCCGCCGCAGACCACCAGAGGGCGCCCGACAGCGGGCCAGCGCCCGGGAGAGCGCAGGGCGCGCGGGGAGTAAGCCGTCAATACAGCGCGGCGGGAAGGAGCGCTCGGGCTCCACTGTTTATTCACTAATCGGCAGTGAACGACCGCCCCTGGTTCCCCACGTCCAGTGAAGCTTCCACCAGATTAGTAAGGAAACACAAGCCCACGTGCACCTTCTTACCGGGTGACCGCGGTCCCACTCCTCCCGCGCGGGGAGGTCTGCTCACGGAGCCCAGGCCCCGGACCCTGTTCCCAGGATGGAAGCACCGGGGCTGACACGTCGGCGAGTCGGGGCCTCACGGCAGAGAGGACGACGCAGAGAGCTTGGGTGGGAGCTGCGGGCACAGGTCTCCTTCCGGTGGCGGTGGCGGGAATGTTGTAAAACCGCCTGCGCCGCCGCTCAAGTGCGCAACTGCTCCCGCAGACACGGTGACACCAGGCCGGGACCTGGGCGCCCGTCACCGGCCACGGCCAGGTGCCGGCCAGGGAGCTCCGCCGAGAGCTGCGGCCCCCGCCATCGCCCTTCCGCTGGGTTAGAACCAGGGTCCAGCCACGCCGGCTTGTCCGTGTCCTCCCAGGACCACCCTGCGGGCAGAAGGCTCAGCCCCGCGAGCCCGCCGTGCGCGTGGGGCACAGACGGACAGAGGAAAAGCCCCACGGCGCCCTTCCCCGCGTCAGACGAGGGGCCTGCAGGCAGCCCGGGCACCCGCTGCGGGGGCCGCGACTCTGCGAGAAGCGCCTCTGGAGGACCGAGGGCGCCGTGCAGGCGCGCGGCGCGCAGGCGCAGGCCGTCGGGGCGCCCCTTGTGGTGGCTCGGCGCGGACCCTCTGGTGCCCCGGGGAGGAGCCGCGTGGCTCACGGTGCGCACGGCGGGTCTCTCTAACCGGGGACCCGTGCGCGATGTGACTCGGGTGAGCTCCGAGTTGGCGGCCGCGGGCTCATGGGTCCCCTCGACAGGCGCCGAGGCCATGGCTGGTCCTGGACGCTCGCCGGTGCTGCCTCTGGTGCTGCTGCTACTTCTGCTGCAGGAGCCGCGGGCGCCCTGGCCCCACCTGCTGAGCCAGGCGCAGGCGCACTTGCACAAGGTGAGCGCGCGCTGGCCTCTGCCGGGCGCAGGGACCGTCCTTCCCGCCCTGGGCCCCTCAGAGGGCGGGTACACCCGGGGGCCTCCTCTTCCCTCCAGCCCCTGGGGTCAGGTTTCCCCCCAGCTCGCGGTGCGGAAGCGTCCCCGGACGCAGGAGCCCTGGCGATCTTAGGGGGAGACCGGGAGCTGGATCCATTGGCCGTGTGTACGGGCTCGGGCACCCAGGGGGCTGCCTACCGGTTCCCTTCTCATGAAGGTACCCCCGGCCCTGCACTGAGTGAACCCTTCCCTCTGCCAGCCCCTCCACACTCTCCCACCCTGCAAATCGAGCCGTCAACTTCCCAGATGAAAACTGGGCGCGCGGTCCAGCCTCCCAGGGTCTCCAGGCCAAAGTCACGCGCACAGCGGTGGTGATCGACCCTTTCGCTCTCGCACTCCCACGGCGTCCAGTGCAGTTGTGCACGTGGCTGGCACTGCGCAGACCGGATACGGGCAGGAATGGGGCCAGTTGGCCTGTTAAAGCAGATGTTGAGTGATTTGCAGGAACGGACAGCAGGCGACTGTGCTTACCAATGTTTCTTTTTTTTGATTTGGAAATATAAAAATGAATAGTTTTCCTAACGATACGTTATTTGTATTGCGTTTTAAGGGGCTCGTCACTGCTGTCCTCGCCTTAATTAATACAGAAGTATTTGGCACTTTTCTAAGCTACGTGTCCAAGCTCTTTGTCTCCTCACTGATTTCCTGTAAAGGGTTTGGAAACCAAAGGCTTTGAAAAGAGCCTGTGTGAAGGGATAAGCCACGCTTACCCAGCTGGCGACTGTGACCTGGGCGAGTGTCTCAGCCTGTGAGCTCATTCCTACACCTGAGAACGTCCCTGTCGCTGCGTCTCGGTCGACGCCCGTAGGGCTCCCGCCAATGCTGCTTTGCAGCCTTTCCTTCCTCCCCTGGGACCCCCAAAAACAAACGGCACAGGGCTCGGGCAGCCTTGGAAATGCGCCAACACCACGCGAGGGAGGCTGGGCCTGCTGCCGCCGGCCCCGGGCGCTGGCGGGCACGGCCGGTCCTGGCAGCCCCTGCTTCACAGGGTATCAGCGAGCCCTGCACCGAGCACGTGGAATGCCAGAGCCAATGTTGTGTGGCCAACAGCCTGAGCCCCCAGAAGTTCTGCACCCAGCAGACCATCTTCCTGCACTGTCTGCCCTGGAAAAAGGTGCGTCCTACGGGGGCGAGGCGGTGGGGGCTGGGCGGCGCGGTGGGGGCGGCGCGGTGGGGGCGGGTCCCTGAGCCGGGAGGTCCGGTTCCCCCGCCCCCCGCAGCCCCTCGGCTACGAGTGCTCCGAGAACAGGGAGTGCCAGAGCTCGTGCTGCGCGCTTGGCAAGGACATGCTGCAGATGGTCTGCACCCCGCAGACCATCTTCCTGCAATGCGTGCCTTGGCGCAAGGTGAGTCCCGGGCCGAGGGGACGCAGAGCCCACGGGGGCGGGCGGCGCGGAGGCGGCTAGCCTGCCCGTGCAGCCGGACATGGACTTCTGCAGCCACAACGACCAGTGCAGGAGTAGGTGCTGCCTCAAGCTGATCGAGGACGGCCACTACCGCTGTGTCCCGCGGAGCGGACTCATCGCCCAGTGCCTGCCTTTGGTGGGTCCTGGGGCTGTGGCCTTGCCCCGTCCCTCTCTCTGACGTCGGTGTGCTGGGACCCGGTGGCCCCCTGCTGCCCGGCACACAGAGCAGGGGACCAGCCCCCCAAGAATTAAGTGATTTGCCTGAGGTGATGCAGCGAAGGGGGGAGAGTGTGGAGGGAAGGTGTGAACCGTCTGCCAGAACCTGCCAGTGCACAGAGGGGCAGCTTCAGGGGAGTGGGGCCTTGGCAGGTGCCACTGGACAGATAGGGTTCTTAACCCAGATCAGCCAGGGTCCTGGCCTATACAGTTCAGGAGGGGAAGATCCCAGTGGCATGACAAGGACCCAAAGGAGGGCAGCCCCCCCAGCTGCACAGGCACTGTTACTGGGACTGGCCTGACCCCTGCAGGGAGGGAGGGCCTAGCCCACCTTCCTTGTCTTCCCATCTTGGCATGCTTCTGGTGCTGCCCTGGACCAGGCCAGGGAGCTCCAGCGACCTGGCCCTGAGGTCAGCCCTGGGGGCACAGACCTGGGTCGAGAAGGGGTCAGGAGAGGTGGAGGGGGTTAGAAGGCCTGGGACTGTGGGTGGGCTTCAGGAGTCCAGGGGCCACTTGAGAACACATACCAACTGTGTGTGTGACACCAGAACCCACACCTCCATCTGATTGTAAAGGGGGAACCGGAAGGTTGAGAAGAGCTGTGCCTTGTGTCATCTCACAAAGCTCTGTCCCAGACAATTTAGTTCCCACTGGTGCCCTGACCCAGAGAGGACAGACTTCTGATCAGGACCAGGGGGAGAGAGATGCTCATACCATATGGTGGTCCTTAGGTTGGCTTAGGGAGTGCTGCTGGTACAATGGGTAAGCGCTCATCTGCTAACTGAAAGATTGGTGGTTCAAACCCATCCAGGGGTTCTGCAGGAGACCCGGTGATCGTCCTATAAGGGTTACAGCCTATAAACCCATGGGGCAGTTCTACTGTGTGTCCTGGGTCGTTATGAGTCAGGATTGACTTGATAGCCCCCACTCGAAGCAGACTGACTTTAACATCCACGCCTGCTCCTGCTTGTGAGGGTTGCGTTACCATGTGAACTAATCTGGGGTGTTTCCTTTAGTGATATGAAGGTGAACCTGTGCACTGAAGGACCAGACCTTTTGAGCCGTTACTGCTGGACATGGTTGTGCCTGGGGCCAGGTTACATGGATGCTTTTCTCACGGTTCCTGCTCGCTCACTGGGGCTCTGGAAGTGTGTGGGAATGGGACACACGAGTGCCCTGTCTGAGCTATGGACTCTGTTAGGCCTGTGTGAAGTGCCTGTGTTCTGTGACAAAGACTCTCAAGTACTGGAATGGACGATCTAAGGACTAATCAATAAAATCAATAAAGACAAGTGGGTGGTCAGATGGACACAGTTCTGTAGGGCATGAAACCAGATTACAGAGTTGGTCTGGGAGAAGGTCTGAAGGGAGGAAGACAAGGTACAGCTCAGAGCACTGGGGGTGTGCCACCCCCACGTGGAGGGTGAAGCCCCTTAGCTCTGAGAGCTCCTGGCACCAAGGAGACAAGATTCCACCCTGAATTCCAGGCCAGGGATGAGCTGCCTGGCACTGGGAGAAACTTTGGTCCAGACAGGAAAAGTCAAGTCTTAAAGATAATGAGATGTCGTTTCCTGGTATTGTGTACTTTCCGGGCTAAGACATCTTACTGCGTGGCCGATCCCAGAGGTGCCATTAGCCAGGGTGACCACGCCTCCAAAGTGCTTCGCTGGCGGCAGAGTGTAGTTCACGCTGGGGAAGGTGAGAGCTAGCAGATCCAACGGGAGCTGGTTTCAGGAACACTGCAGGTGTGTGGCACACTGGGTGACAGGAAATCACCTTGGGGTGAGAGTGCTGCAGCCCTTTCTCCGCAGATGGGGGCCAGATCGCCCTCCCTGTAAGGTGTGCTTGGCGCTGGAAGGGTCAGACTGAGATAGAGAAGTGGGCTAGGAGCAGGCACAGTAGCTCTGGTGGCAGATGTTGCAGCAGCGAAAAACGACGGGATGGGGGAGGAGTCAAAGGGAGGACAAAAATGAAAAACATGTGGAAGTTTTAAGTGTTTTGAAGACAATAATCAAGTTTACAAACTAGAGAACAGTTAATAGAAATAAGATGTGCAAGGTGACAGAACCGGAAACAAAGATGTGAACAGTCTGGGGGAGGATGTGGGTGGTGTCTGTGCTGATGCGTTCCGTACCCTCAGAGAATCTGTATGGTGCCCAAGTTGTTCTTAAAGCCACGTAGCAAAGCCAGAGGGACCGGCGACTTCTGAAACTAAGAAGGGCAAAAGGACAGGACGTGGTCTGAGTTTCCGGTGTGCAGGAACAGCTCTGGTGCCCTCGCAGAGGGCGGCAGGTCCACGGACACCAAGCGAGGAGCAGGGCATGAGAGCGGTGCGGTGCCCTCGAGGTGATTCCGGCAGAGCCGCCGGCCCCGCATCACGACTTCCCGTCAGAAAATAAACCCAGGCAGAGACTCCACACCCATGAGGCCACACTGGGGCTGGGGTCACACCAGGTCGGGGTCAGGTCAATGCCTGGGGCCTCCTGGCTCCCACGGCTGAACTGCAGCCTGGCCTTGCTGTGCAGGGGCCCTCCACACACCTCTGCACCTCCCCACTTGCCTGCACTCACAAGGGGCCCCCAGTTGTACTACTCCCGGTGCAGCTCTGGTACAGTAAGGAGCAGGATCCCCCAAAGGGGACATGTCAACAAACAGTAAGCTCAGTGACCTCTGTGCAGGTTAAGTGGGGGGGCATGAGGGCAGGTGAGGGACACACGGAGCTGTCCCACAGTCAGGGCACAGGAGGGTCTCAGGCCTCTGCATGGGGACACCAGCCAGCACCAGGAGGCCCACACGTGCCCTTCCCCGAGGCTTCTAACCGGAAGGACTCAGTGCAGGACATGGTGCACCAGGGCTCCAGGGCTGTGCACAACACCACACAAAACACACAGCCAGCTTTCATCCAAAATCAAGGTTGTATTTATCCTCAGCGATTGACACAGGAACAGAGTGTTGAAGAGGACTGTGTCCACCGTGGGACACGAGGCTAAAGGGACAAAAGTGAAGAGCCCGTGGCTGTGGATGGCGGCTCCGAAGCCCAGCACGTATGTACGCTGCCAACAGCCGGAAGAGGCGAGGCGTGTATGCGGACACACGGGAAACCAGAAAGTGAAGGGAGCCGGTGCTGGGAGGAGGGCAGCACTGAGGCGCGGCTTCGCACGCCTTCCCGCGGAAGAAAGCTGTACTGAAGGTATCCTTGTTTGAAGGATAGTCAGGTCTCGCACGTCTGCTACTGTACTGGTCTGCAATACAGGTCCACGAACACTGCCGGCGAGGACGAGGGTCCCCAGCGGCCAGTCCTTTGCCGCTGGCGGCCCGGCGCCCCCCGCTGAGCCCACGTGCAGGCAGAGGCCCCTTGGCTCAGGCCTGACGTGGCCTCACGAGGTGGCGCAGGGCGTGGAACCTGCTCGGACAGCCAGGGGCCTGCCTCGAGCTTGCGTAGTCTTGCATAGTCGAGTTGCTGCAGTTACACTTCTCAGTTGCCGACTGCCGGCGGGAGGGGTTTTGTGACCGCGTTAAACAATAACCAGAGAGGTTTCTAGAAACCATTTTATAAAGTCTACCTAGGTTAAGAATTTAATAATGTCCTGTATTTCTATTAACAGCTATTTACACTGGTGTTTTTTTAAAAAACAAACCAAGAAAGAAATCTTCTTACTCTTCTGCATAATAGAATAAGGCAAACCAAACCTCTGTACATTATTATTAGTTATTATTTCAATGTACTATGTGTGGCTCTGGCGCCGAGGACCGGGAGGGCCAGGGCTGGCCTCACAGTGCGCTGGACTGAGGGACCGGTTTTCTCCATAAATAAGACAAAAATCCCTGGGGCTCTCCAGAGGGATCTGAGGCCGAAAACTTGCAAACTGAACTAAAAACGAAAAAGCAAACGCTTTTTTTTTTTTTTTTTTGGTTGTTTAAAATGTCTAAAGAGCACAAAATTAAAAAAATTACAAATCCATTAAAAACGCGTCTCACCTTTGGGGAAAAACGTACAAACTCGAATTGTTTCCAACAGGAGCCCCCCTCCAGCTCGGAGAAGCAGAGCGCACTGGGGCGGACCCGTCGCCCCGGACCGGGGGCCTGTGCTTGGTTTGTGCAACTGTAGACGGGCAGTCAGGGCAGCGCGCTCGCCGAGAGCCTCTGCACGGCGCCCGCGCGCGCACTACCGCGCCTCCACCTCCTGCGGCTTACGGGACGGGGAGTAGTCGCGCGTCTCGCCCGCGC